CGTCCCATATTGCCAAGCAGGTGATCCACAAGGAGGAATACCGCCCTCCCTCAGTCCAGTGATACTGTGCCTAGCACAATATGTTGGGGATACGTAGCCTTGCTGTGGGCAAACATTTTGTAACAATTTGGCAAACTTTGATATGTAAACAGCAAATATTATTCAGTTTTATTTCAACAAAAACGGAAAAAATCGGATCCTATTTATTTTGTGGATACCATAACAATAAATCAAGCCAATAGATCGTTTGAGCTGGCATGAATATAAACAATAATTAGCAAGTCGATAGTCATAATTCCCTCTGTTGGTCCCACGTGAAATGTTCTTCATGAATCGAAAAGATGGCTGATAGACGTTCGACCGAATAATATCCTTTGCTAACTTCAACTGTTCATCTAATTTCCATGAATGTATGTTACATGGTTCATATGTTCATGGGCTTCTTCACTGAATGTATAGTGTGGAGGACTACTTCACTTGAGGATAAGTAACATAAATAATGATGATAATTATGATAGTATTGCCATTATTATTCCTTCAGATTATTAAAAAAAAGTTATTATGTTTTCATAGAGAGAAAGAGGTATGGAGATTGTGAGATTATTTTTAGCATCGGAATTGTTAACATAATTCTTAAAGATATTATGTTTTGTTTGTTTGTTGTTAAATGCTCCACTCAGCAACGTAAGGATATTAAAACATTACATTTAGGTTCAGTTGTATTTTTATATTTGTATCATTTTGCAAATGTTACAGAGACCTGATAAGGGATATATAATAATGTATAGTCGCTATTCTTAAAGTAAGAATATGTTAGATTTATCAACCAGAAATATTGCACACAAGAGGAAAATCATTTTTCATGACACGATTCAACGTCGAAGTCAACGATATTTGTGTATGTTATTGCTACATGACACGGATACGTCATGATAAAGCAATTAGAAACTGGCATTTGATGATATAAGATAGCTACGCGATAAATCACAAAGAACAAAGAAGGAAGCGATAATTTTTATTTATTTCACGATAAAACATTGTTCTATCGTGGCGTCATTTATTGAGATTCCAACATGCACTCGCAAGTTGAAAAGTAAAATTTGTAAATTTGACCTTATTTTTGAGAGGTATGTGTCTAGTGAGTTGTTCCCAATAAATGTTGCTGGAGAATCCAAAAGTGAGAGTGATATGACAATCGGTATTGGGAGAAAAGGTACAGATGATTGACGAGAAAATTGTGAGAATATGCGGGACCAAACTCAAATCCTAAAATGGATTTATCTAGCATGGCCGCTGTCGGATTCTATTCAAGGAATCATCATTATTTAAGTACATGTAAATATTGTAAAGCGTGTATTTTTTCCTAATTTAACACCCTAAAAGAGGCTGTACGTAATGTTGATATCTCATATAGAAATAAACGAGTCTCGGTCGTTGTTTATCGTACAATAAACAACTCCCAGTCGTCGTTTGTTTCTTAATTACACGACCATATACACTAACATTATATCTGTTCATGTTTATCGGTCAACAAAAGCGACACAAGCATTTCCATTATCATGAGAAACCCTTGACAAAAGTAGCGCCAACTGCACCATTGCGACAACATCAGGAGCATGTTTCATGATTCACATATCACGAGTAAGTGCAATGCAAGCAACAGTTGGCATTGTTCTGTAACAAATATATAGTAGGTTAACTAGAATGGTTCCTGTTGTTGTCACAATTCAAACCCCTTTGGATAATACGTTTGCTTAGTGGATTTAAAGATTTATATATTTGTCTGAAAGGGATCCCCATTTTCACTAACAGATCATGAGTTTGGTTGTGGCTGTAGTCATGGTGACTTGGTTATTAGATCAGATACTATATTTAGTTTGTTTTCCGACGGGCCAGTGGACTGTAGATATTACTTCCTGGTCTTACAAACACGGGTTCGTGATTCAAATGTAGCTACATTGTCGACAAGGCCTAGTGTGTGAGTTGATAAGTCATGTATTGAGACGTCGCTTATCGTCCAGTGTTACAGCTTAATAACGACACGTGCTGAGGTAGTGAACACAACCGACACGAGCCAGAGAGTCGAATACCTATGACTGGAGTACAGATACATTGGCTGTGTGTGTGACAGTACCTGAGTTCAATAGTATTGACGAGATTAGTTATGTGAGGAGGATCAGTGACACGGGGAGGTGAAACTTGTTAAGTCTTAACGACAAAACCTGCTGTGAATCCAAATAACTAGTTTCTCACGACTGTGTTGACATGAATGTTCCATTTACAATCTTGTTTTTTAATGGTGTGCGGATTTACGACATACACAAAGGGTGAGTTGAAGTTCATCGTGTTTAGATAGATATCTGTAATAGGAAATATCTCAATCTGCCATCACTTCAAGGAATGTTCTGTGGCACGGGTATAGTAAAATATAATGTTGTATTCCCGAGGATTGAACAGGTAAACTTCGTATCTGTAGTCCAGTCCAGTCCAGTCCAGTGATAAATCACAATGCTTTTAAAGAATGTCTTTTTTTAAATACCGTACGGCAGCAACAGATATTGTATGCCCGTTTTCTAAGGTTCATGGAAAGCATTACGAAACATAACATGTTGATCAATGTTGTTTAAAGTTTATTTTTGCAGTTTATAAATTAGATAAAACCTGACGGTTTTGTCGCACGGATGCGGGTTTTAAATATCATAAAAAACCTCGGACGTCCTCTATTCTACACATAAAGCGACGCATTGTAATTCGATAGAGAATAAACTGCATTCAATTTCATGAAATTTCGATAGGTATCAAAAACAAAATCGTAATACGAACCATGAGTCTGTTTGTTCATATACAGGTATTTTCAATACCCCGCTCCATGTGGGACAAAGGCACTCGCCCAAACAGTGTCAGGCTCCGTGATATGTAGATCCTGACGTGTGTGCAGCTCACTCACACCGACAAATAATAAACATAGATATAACTCGTTTTATTCAACGATTTATTTGCAGAAAAATACCTATAGATATTTAAATTTTAAGATATGATTTAATCATTATCAGATGTATCAGTAATTCTGTAATATATTTCCCCTGTTGTTTTGTTGCAACGTACGTGCGAGGATCGGCTGGTCGTGAGTTCAAATCCCAGTTCGCCTTGGCTGTATGTCTTTGTGTATCAGGACCAGGGCTTACTGAGCTGGGTATTGCTGCTCACGAGGAGTGTGGGACGTTCAGTGCAATTTGAAGCAGTAACAATGCGTTCCGCGTTAGATGGCAAGTGGTATAGAATCTAGCGAGGGACACAAAAAAAACCATGTACCCTGAGTGATCCTGCTACAACGAATTCATCTCACCGACATAGTTTAATATGACGTCGTAAAACACATAAATCAATTTCAAAATTGACAGAAAACAGTTTTTCGATTGATGTTAACTTTCACTATGTCACGTGACTTCCACTGACTCGGAAAGAGCGTGCGGTTGTAAAACATCGCTATGCTCTCACATTTGTTTCATGTTTTTTTTAGAATGTGCCCGCAATGTGCCCCCCTCCCCCCGGCCCCCACCCCCTTACATAATCACGGATAAAGAGTCAAAATGAATAAATATTTCATTTCCGTTTACAGTCTAATGTAACGGGGCAGTGTATATCAATAAAGGGAGGTTGCGTTGGTTAACATTTCCGCGCATCGCATACTCAATACAATTCGCGAATATGAAAACACACAATATTTATCGAGAATGTCAAATACACAACGTATCAGTCATTTTCTCAAGCACTCTTCACAATTGACGTCACCCTGGAATAATGTTTTGAATTTGCTACAGGTTCGAACTCCCTACAACTAACAAGTTCCCCAACAACAGCATCGCCAGACCAGCCGTACACCTTGATCTGTAGCAGTAGTGGCAGTCCTGGCAGGACTAGAGACTGGTACTGGAGGAATGATATAGTATTCCGTACAGTTTATGAGTCAGACACACGATGTCCAGTAACTATTGCTAACAATGACCTGAACAGACATCTGTCAGGACGTATCAATGTAACCTGTTGTCACAACCAGCACAATGTGACTCTCAGGATCCTGACTTCCATAGACAATGGATCTGTGTGGTGGTGTGTAGATACTGAGCGTAGTCAGGAGAGCAACAGGTTGACAATACGTGAGTATATTATGGTGTGTTTGAGCCATTAAACAGTGTTACCTATTTAAGCAAATTGGTCAATTATTGCGATACTTGTGTAATGTTAACTTTTAACACGAACGAATGGAATAGCATTCCTGTCGCAAATGTTGGATCTTAACAATAATTTGTAACGAATTGATAATTATAATAATTTTCAGGCGTAGTAAACCTTGTGACAATGTCATCACCAACTACGACAGTAGCAACTACAGCCACTGCAGAAGCAACTACTACTACTACTACTACTACAACAACTACATCTACTACAACTATACCAGTTATTTCAGCAGCTAATGCAACTACAACTGCTGCAGCAAAATCAGACATCTCCTCAAGCAAGTCTCAAGGACGGAGTGAGATGATTTAATCATACTTATATTTTTGCCATACACTTTTAGTCCATAATATACAACCAACAAAATGCTCATCCAAAACTGGCGTCCACGGGAGACATCGCTTGGATCACGCGATATCCCCTAGGAGATAATAATTATAGCGCCAATGAAATTCCACCCCAATGCTTTACAGACCATGTGTCGTCATCAGTTACCATAACGCCTCAGTATTATGACATCACCAAACTCTCTGAGACTGATGCTGGTCACCAGTGCCTCTTTCCCTCAAGACGCTAGTTATTGTCGTTTACAAACTGAAAGAATGGACAAATGAATCATGGATGATAATAGAATCTCACCTTTGTGTCCGTTGACGTCAAATATATCTGTATAACCTGAGGTGAGATGGGGTCTAAGGTCAAGTTCAAGATTATTGCACTTAGATAGGGAGTGTGTGCGTGTGTGTGTGTCGGTGTGTGCTACTTGTACTTGTCCAGACTAGTGCCGATTTTATAGTGCTAGGCCACTGAGATACCATCCTTAAAACTAGGATCTACCAGCTCTATCTAAAGTAACATTAACATTTACAAAACCAGGGACGTTATTTATTTTTCACCATGTTTATATAATACGAGGCATATTCAGGTCGTACATTTGAAGGTAGTCAAGTTGCTTACATCGCTGCTGGTGTTGGAGGAGGTGTTGCAGTCGTCACTGTTGTCGTCGTCAGTGTTCTGTGTATAAGAAGAAGGAGAGAACGTCCTGTGAATAACGGTAAAGGAACCATTAAACTTTTGAACACCTCGGTCTTATGTTACGACCTTCAGTTTGCGTCAAAACAATATGGATAAACAGATTGGATGTGATAACAACACATTAAAATTTTTAAGTTAATCGTCTATTGATATTTTCTTACTAAAGCCACGCTACAACACATTATGCCTGCTTTTGTTACAGGCAGCACACGTGAACACAAACACGAGGCATCACATACCTACTACAATGAGTAAGTAACTCTTGTATAAAATGCGTTCATGCCAATTAAAAAAACATGTGTTATGACATAGTGGGAATTGAGTATGGAAACGTTTAAGGGTTTTGCCGTTTGTTACGTCTAAGTGAGATTTCATAATTTGCAAAACGCAAATATATTTTATCCAAATGTACACATATTAATACAAAGTTTAATTCTTATTGAATGACAGAAGATATTCTGGTTTCGTTCTTGTTTTAGATAAATGATATCTGTAAATGTATTTGTTTCAGAAATCGCGTCTTACAAGACCAAGACATTAACGACAAAGTTCAAGGTAAGATCATTGGATTGTGTGATGCTTTAATAATAGTATGTTTATAGACGTGTGCCATGTTATGTATTGGCACACAGGTCACAAATCAGGCTACGTTGGGGTGGTGGAGATTGGATGTCTGAGTATTTCCGCTCATCAAACATGACAGCTGGTCCTGTCACTCACTGTCATACACAGGTGTCTTCGTGAGCAAGCCTTTCCGAAATTGGCCCCTGTTTTACAGCAGCAACTGGGTACCCAGTAGGATGAGATGGATAAATGAATGTAGAGTCTCAGAGCGCCTTCGAATTCGGGCAGGGTTGGTTGTATATTTTCCAAGAACCTTGATAGAAATTAAATATTGACTTGTCCGTTGAAACGAGTAATATGATCAGGCTTTCATGTGGAATTGGCGATATACAAATGTACATTTTGTTGTTGTTGTTGTTGTTGTTGTTGTTGTTGTTATACAATGGAAGTGTATATCCACGTGCAACATTTTGTATTGTTTATTTCAGTGGAAAATGATATTTATGAGACTTCACGTGACGTCACTTCACCCAACCATCCTTCAACAAATGATCACATGATAACAGGTCAGGAATTTCGCCATCACTGTATACCATCTCACCAGCTTGCGATCCATTGATATCGTTTAGAATAAATCACCTGCACTGTCAATAGAATTTGTACATTTGAAATCGAAAACGTCAGCCTTAACACAACCTAAATTACAACAAAATAATAATTCAAAGTAGGATCACCTCTATTCTACCGTTGCACATTGCTAGGAAGGTCAATTCGGGGTGAATAGTCAAATAAAGAACCATAACCACCTATGAACATTGTCAATTGAACTTTATTTAATTATTGATAATCACGTTTTCCATGATTTTATATCCCTGTTTCGCACATACGATGAAAAGTAGGCACGCCCAGCAATCGATTTGTGTATATCACTCAGTCACACCAGCTTGAAATATACAAAAGGGAGGCCATGTATCATATCTTCTGAATACTGCTTGTGACCGTATGTAGACTTCAAGTCAGATGTTTGAACGTTATCTATGTAATATGTTTTGATACCCTTTAATTTAGTTTGAATTTAATTGCTCGACCGTGTAATTGCCAAAGTCCTGAATGTGTGATGTTACTGTTAGTGTTGAACTGACATGTTCCTGTTCCCGCAGCATGGGACTTGAGAGTAGCAGTTCTTGATTAAAGTACTAAATTAAAGTAAAGAGCACATTGACTACGTGATTGTTGTTTCTTTATTTAAAGTATAAATAAAGTATAATTTTCTACCAGATGTCTACGCCCAAGTGCAGAAACCCAAGACAAATAAGCCGGGACCTACAGGTACAGCCGACGACATCAACATAGAGGATCTATACGCCAAACCTGACAAAACTAAGATTCGGAAGAAGCAGGAAGACTAATGTAAGTATTCTGAGGAAGTATCAAGAAATGGTATTGATAAAATATGCAAATGACATTGTGTCCCCCACATGGCCATCGTATATACAGCAATAAGTATGTGACATCACCTTGTTAATATTGATCCAGATGATTTATAAGGATACTGTGTGGCAAGTGACACATTTTTGTTTTGTTTCAGAGAGGCTGTAAAAGGGGAATCCTTTGATGATGCGAAATAGACTGACATATGTAATGTCAGAGTTCTGAAAAAGGTGGTGTACTGTATATGTGCCTCGTAGATTTTCGGTGACACATCTTAGTTAAATAGTTTCATACTCTCTTCAGCAGTATGATTGGTTCAGTGTTTTCATTATAAACGTTGATTGTGTGTACAAATATAAAAACCAAAGCGTCACAGGCTCAACATATACAATAGCTATCTGTTTACGCCAAGATCCCCTGCTCCAGCTGGTAAATCATCACTTGTTGCTAAACTTGTTATGGAGGATACGAACAGGCTTTGTGCTTTTTTTATGATTTTTTTGTTAATTTTACATGTAATGAAGATTCAAACTGGCTATTTTCAATATTTATTCAGGAAATTTCTTTTCTGTAAAATGATAAAAAAGCTACCAAGTACGTCATTGTGAATTAGTGACGGAAGGAGTGAGTGTGTGAAACCAACGAGCATGGCTATGGTGCTAAGAAACCAAGAGTCGTTATCAGGGGAGCACTGGGGCGCCTGAGGGACGCAGCTCTGCACAGCGACACGGGGTATCTAACGTCAGTTTGGTATCCATGCCCCAGTGGATATTTCAGGGCTTTTGTATGAATTCCTGTCTCAGAATGTCAGTTAATAATATGAACAAACACAGTTGAAATTGATGTCACAATATCTTTGGTGTCCATACACAGTTATTATGTCCGCAAGCAACACATCATGACCCGTTTATTAGCTTCATTAACGTAGTTTTTACTCCATGAAATCATCAATCGCATCGCCACTCGTAACACAGGCGAGGTTAACGTCTTAAGAGTTATTACGAAAAACAAATGTTTGATATTTGAGAAGGTCCATAATTTATGATATGTAATGTCACAAACATAGGCTATAAACTGAACACTACCAACGGCATGGCTTGTGAGTGACAAAAGAGACTAAATGTAACATGTATTTCCTTTCCTAAAGCTGACGTTTTTGTTATCTGTAAATGATCAACCAACTTTCTTACATATATAATTTCTGACGGAACCAAATAGATTATAAAATTACATTAATTTTATTTAGATCACTTATGTAGTTAAAAGTGAGGTAAAATTCGACACGCCGCCCTACAATCAGCTGAGTTCTGTTTATTCTATAAACTGTAATGCATATGCATGAAACTTTACTTTGACTAAATAATGTCTTTCAAAACAAGAAACTAGTATCCCCGTGTTTAATGTATTGTCACTTTTCCCCCACCACATGTGACTATCACTATAAAGTGACATCCATGTGAGTTGACGACCATACACAACTGATATGAAAGTGTTGTGTACTCGTCTGACTTGTACATTGCCATGTTGTGCAACAAAAGCTTGACACTCGTGATCACCCGATCATTTATTTCTTTAAGCGACATGTATGTGTGCCTGATAAACATGTATGTTTTCCTCAACTCAGACGTGTACAAGAACAGCTTGTATTGCATGGCTATCAGTGAACACAACCTAGCGTTCTTTGGTCGCCACCCGTAACAATGCATAGCCTACAGGCAGGCCGTTTATGTTACCGCGGTATGTGTATAACATTAGCCTGTTATTGAAAGTGGTGTATATTTAGACAGCCGTTCCCTGCTGAATATCCCTTCCTTGTCTGGGAAACACAATCTTGTTCAACCTGTTTCTGAATGTGTTGACAGGACTACAGGTGAGCTGAGTAAATAGGGATGATTCGAAAAACAAATCGTTTTGGCTCTGGCAGTAAGACTTAGTGTATATCCCTCGTGTTGTGTAGAGTTACTTCCTCTAGACCGTCCGCCTCAAACGTCGTAGACTTACATTTAGTCCCAGAAATAAGTTATCCTATCTTAAGATACATATCTACACAACACAAATAATTAATTAAAATTGAGTCTAGAGCAATCCTTATCTAGACTTGCCAAAATTAATCATTCAAGGGCTTGAGTGGGACTTGAATATTTTCGCCTGGTTCTGGGAGACAATAAACTTCGATGTATCACACACCAAGCAAACCTGAAATATGGAGGATGCGGTATCAGTAGGAACATCAATAATATTTATAAATAAAGTGGATAACCCAGCGAGCAAGTGATAATACAAATATGTTCACATATATTATTTTGAAGAATATATTTGTTATTTGATTGATTTATAGATGTAAGTTTATACTGTAAACTCGTCATTGAATAAACATCTGTCAATCACGGTGCACGTTTAGTAATCATTAACATTTCCGCCTAAAGAGAGGTGCACACTATATTACAGAACACCAAAGCTTCCTCGAGAAACGGCCTTGAAAACACTGGCGATTACCAGTAAAACATAGGGATATTCTCTGTAACACACATGTGTGTGAGTTGTTATGACATTTTACCATGTAACCATGTATAATTTCGCGCTCTTAATTTTCGAATACTATCAAGGTATTCTTTTCAGTCTTGAAACCACATTGAAGAATTTAAACTTTGCATACCAAGACATCGAACCTACATGTACATATCTGAATAATAAATGAAAACGACTGATGATTAAATATGCAGATATTAGAAGGGTGAAAAGCATATTTCATGTGTGCATCAATATATGACGATCATATGCACGAGTTACCTCCCTTATATCAATGCACTTAAGCGTGAAACAGCTCAGCATCAATAAGTGTGTCAGTGAGTGAGTGAAATGGTTTCAACGCAGCAAATAGCTCTATTTTTTCCTTTATCTATGCTTGTCGTAAGAGGCATCTCATCGTATCCCAATTGCGGGGATCGATGCTCATGATGTCAAACACCGGATTGTCTGGTCCAGACTCGATTATTTACAGGCCGCCGTCATATAGCTGGTATATTGCGTGCGGAACAACAAACAAACAAACCTGGTGTCAACGTGATCATGAGTAGTATAACATATCGGTGTCAACGTATAGACATCTTATAAACGTTGGTTGCCAATGATAATGATGAAGAAGAATATTATCTTCAAGTGGCATTTTAGAAGCTGCAGTACCTTGGAAGATAGAATTTACCATTTGGTTCATGATCAAGTTCTTCATATCACAACGTTTCGTTACAATCAAGTAAGGTTTCAATGCCTGGGCGGACATGGATACACATCTATGATTACATGTACACAGGATTAACTAAACACAAATCAAGTATGAAGACTTTGGTTGGGTTTGCAGAGTGTAGTTGCAGTGCGTGATTCTAAACTCCGGGCAAAACAGAAGAGTGTACATCCATGTTTCATGGTGCCTGAAAATGAAACAAGCAAGAAATTGTCATTCGATGTTGATGTATTTGAAACTGGTATCATTGGCGGTATTCCATGCATCACATCAATGAGTATCTCACAACAGGTGACGTGCATATGACATCTCCACAAACAGGGGGCCACACTGTTACTGTACACAGGGATGAGCACAGGGAAGCGGGTACTGCCATTGACCCGTGAAGATCCGGGTTAGAGTGAGTGAGTGAGTGGGGTTTAACGCCGTTTTTAACAGTATTCAAGTTATGTGGGAAGAAAGCCCGAAGTGATGCAGGTCTCAAACGTTTACCACTTCGGTGAAACCCACGAGCACGGGTATGGTGCTGACAAACCTAGAAACATGATCTAGGCGAACCGAGATTCGAACCCACAATCAAAGGTTTCTGGCGTGCCCACGGGACGCAACTCTGCACAGCGAATCACGGCGCCTTAGACGACTGGGCCAGCCGTGCCCCACTACGGGTTAGAATACTATAGAAGGTCTTCAGCTACCAATTCTTGCCGTAAATGGCGACTATGCTTGTTGTAAGACTGAGGGTAGTCAGGCTTGCTGACTTAATGCAAGTCATCGTTGACCAGTTGCGTGCATCGAGGTCCATGATGTCAATCACTGGGATGTCTGGTCCAGACTCGATTATTTACTTACTGCCGTCATCAAGATGGAATTCAGCTGAGTGCGGCGTTAAACAGCAAACATTCATCGGGACAGTGATGTGCACCACGTGATCAAATAGCCATCAGTCATGTGACAAGACCCACACACCTTGCTTCTATCAAAAATACTGGATATGCAGTAAGTTGGTGTTCAGATTGTGCACACACGTTTAGTGCTGGTTGTCTGGTGACATGTTAATGAACAGCTACTGAGACACGACAAGGTTGCATTGTTGCTCCACAAACATGAGGTCGATAAATATGAGGTCAAAATCGTTTGGAGTTGAATTGCTCTGTCACCGGTAATATTATCGCGCACGTGTCCTCTATGCAAAGGCAGCGAACCTGCAAAGCTGAATGCATGGAATTAAACACATTTTCACAATCACGACTGAAAATTTAATCATCAAAGAGATTTTGGATGCAAGTATTGGAATCTCCAGCCGTGAGTACCAAGAACAGGAGAAAGTATATTTTAAGTGCGCATCAAATATATGACAATCATTCACAAGTTACCTCCCTTATAACAGTGATACCTTCACAGCCAGTTAATGAAGGCGTGAGTGAGTGGGTGATTTTTTACGCCGCCCTTACCACTATTTCATCAATATCACAGCAGGGTTTATGCCATTAAGTCACTGTTCTACTTAGAAATTGAATAATTAAAAACACGACATGTGATTGTTTACCCATCTGGAATACATTACTTACATTAAATATTGACAATGCATCTAGGAAGATTTTACCTTGCCACATTAAACATAAACATTATATGTCCGCACTTGCATTCATGTTTAAAGTTACATTCACA